TGTGAACACTGGTACTGTTCCAAGGTTTGTTGTACCTGGTCGTGAGGGTACAGTTTCAGTCACTGCACCATCAATAAAGAAGTTAAAAAGGTTAAAGGAATAAAGTATACAGCAAATGTCTACATTTTTGTTCTCATATGTTACTACCACCAATATTACCAGTGAATTTACCAGAGTCCATAATATGAGCAGATTACAAGAGAGAACGAGATTGAATACTCTCACTGACTGCAGCTTATGTACCCATACAGAGGACAGAACTCTAGTATATGTTAATCTGGTGGAACCAGTTGAGGGACTGACCCCAAGGCTGTGTCTATTTACAAAGTAAGCTAGCTTGGAGCTCACATCCCCCCATACAGAGGACAAAACTCTAGTATATGTTAATCTCCTGGAACCAGTTGAGGGACTGACCCCAAGGCTGTGTCTGGTTACAAAGTAAGTTAACTTGGAGCTCACATCCCCCATCTCCCCTCCTCTCACTACTATTAATTGACTTATACAGAATGTAGTTATCCTTGCATGAGACTGAAGGCTCTTACATCCTCACCGGTAATTAGCTACCATGGTTTAAACTCAGTATTGATAATTCATGACGTGTGGTTGTGTGTCATTCACGACGAATAAATACGACACACTCGACGAACGCTACAGCACGATACAACAGGAAGGGGAAAAAGTAAGATAAATAGAGAAAAATGAAGGCGGTAACCGGGGAAAGAGCAATGAATAAGGCTGAGGGAGCAGGAATAATAGTAGGAGAGGGAAGTAATGTGACAAAGGGAAAGATAATGATGGTAGGGAGAGAAAGAGAAAGGATTAGAGTTATACTCACAAAAATGCGCTAAACTTGTGTCTCATTTTGTAAACACAACACTCGATAGAAGTGAGAAATATGTTATAAGTACAGTAAGAATTATATGTGGGAAAACATGAGAAACTTTTCTTCGTCAGTGTGAATTTTTTGTGACTGATTTTTTTATTTGTGATTCTTTGTTTGTGATTCTTTGTTTGTGAGTCCTTGTGATTTTTTGTGAGTCCTTGTTATTCTTTATTTAGGATTCTTTGTTTGTGAGTCTTTATGACTTTATTTGTGATTCTTTGCCCGGGACTCTTTGTGAGTCTGTGGGATTCTTCGTGATTCTGGGATATTTTGTGAGTCTTTGTAAGTCTTTATGAGTTTCTCTTTATGAGTCTTTGTGAGTTGACGAGTGTAGTTGATCACTGAGGCAGTGTTGTACATTACCAACAAGGTGATGAATACGACACGTGTGTAACACTTGGGTATCTTTATATTAACGACTTTTCATCAGTCAATGCTTATTACATGGAGACAATAGGGCATGAGGTAATCAGTCCCTCAGCCTTGAGAAAGGTGATCACTTCCAATAAGTGTCAGATGCCCAAGACTGTTCAACTGCCTCCCAGCATTCGTAAGGGGGACAACCAGTAGACCCCTGGTTGTCTTCAAGGAGCTGGACAGGCACCTAAAATCAGTACCTGGCCAGCCGGGTTGTGGTTCGTACGTCGGAATGCGTGCGGCCAACAGTAGCAACGTGATTGATCAGGCCCTGGTCCACCATGAGGCCTGGTCACAGACCGGGCCGCGGGGGCGCTGACCCCCGAAATCTTCTCCATATATACCTTAGTTTTGATGAATGACACCCATCAAGACTATGGAACTCAGCGTCAACCTCTAGACTGTGTACTTCATGTTCTACTGTCGCCTCTTAACAAGGGGTGTGGTGTGAGCAAGGGGGTGTGGTGTGAGCAAGGGGGTGTGGTGTGAGCAAGGGGGTGTGGTGTGAACAAGGGGGTGTGGTGTGAGCAAGGGATGTGGTGTGAGGAAAGGGGGTGTGGTGTGAGCAAGGGGGTGTTTGGGGTGAGTAAGGGGGTGTGGTGTAAGCAAGGGGGTGTGGTGTGAGCAAGGGGGGGTGGTGTGAACAAGGGGGTGTGGTGTGAGCAAGGGGATGTGGTGTGAGCAAGGGGTGTGGTGTAAGCAAGGGGTGTGGTGTGAGTAAGGGGTGTGGTGTGAGCAAGGGGGTGTGGTGTGAGCAAGTAGGGTGTGGTGTGAGAAGGGGGTGTGCATAGTGTGAGAAAGGGGGTGTGGTGTGAGCAAGGGGGTGGGGTGTGAGCAAGTGGTGTGGTGTGAGCAAGTGGTGTGGTGTGAGCAAGGGCTGTGGAGTGAGCAAGTGGTGTGGTGTGAGCAAGTGGTGTGGTGTGAGCAAGGGGGTGTGGAGTGAGCAAGTGGTGTTGTGTGAGCAAGTGGTGTGGTGTGAGCAAGGGGGAGTGAGCAAGTGGTGTGGTGTGAGCAAGTGGTGTGGTATGAGCAAGTATTGTGGTGTGAGCAAGGGGAGTGAGCAAGTGGTGTGGTGTGAGCAAGGGGTGTGGAGTGAGCAAGTGGTGGGTGTAGCAAGGGGAGTGAGCAAGTGGTGTGGTGTGAGCAAGGGGGTGTGGAGTGAGCAAGTGGTGTGGTGTGAGCAAGGGGGTGTGGAGTGAGCAAGTGGTGTGGTGTGAGCAAGGGGGTGTGGAGTGAGCAAGTGGTGTGGTGTGAGCAAGGGGGTGTGGAGTGAAAACAAGTGGTGTGGTGTGAGCAAGTGGTGTGGTATGAGCAAGTGGTGTGGTGGTGAGCAAGGGGGGTGTAGTGGCAGCGTTTCTCAACCTATTCTAGGTAGCGTCCACTATCACAGTTAATTCTTATCTCCGCCCCACCTTCCTTCCTTCCTTCCTTCTTTCCTTCCTTCCTTCTTTCCTTCCTTCTTTCCTTTCTTCCTTCCATTCTTCCTTCTTTCCTTTCTTCCTTCCTTCTTTTCCTTTCTTCCTTCTTTCCTTCCTTCCTTCTTTCCTTCCTTCCTTCTTTCCTTTCTTCCTTCCTTCCTTTCTTCCTTCCTTCTTTCCTTTCTTTCTTCCTTCCTTCCTTTCTTCCTTCCTTCTTATAAAATTCTGTATATAAAATCAGTAAAAAAATATTTAAATAGCAAAATTGAGTAATTTTATAATTTTTAAATATTCAAAAGAGTCTTTGTAAGGACTAAATAAAAAATATGCTTTATTTTTGTTGTGGGTTCTCGCCCCCCACTGGAAATTACTAAGCAGCCTGGGGGTAGCGAGCGCCCCCTTCCCGGTTAAGAACCGTTGGACTTGAGTGATGGTGACCTAGATAGAAGTCAAGAAAGCTACCATTAACAGATACTCTCCCTCTCTCACCCCCTCCTCACATCCTCCCTCTCCCCCTCAGACTCTTGACTCCTTCTCTCCCTTACATCCTCTATCCTTCCCTCCTTCTCTCCTTTACATCCTCTATCCTTCCGTCCTTCTCTCCCTTACATCCGCTATCCTTCCTTCCTTCTCTCCCTTACATCCTCTATCCTTCCCTCATTATCTCCCTTACATCCTCTATCCTTCCGTCCTTCTCTCCCTTACATCCTCTATACTTCCCTCCTCTCCTTTACATCCTCTGTCCTTCCGTCCTTCTCTCCCTTACATCCTCTATCCTTCCCTCCCTTCTCTCCCTTACATCCTCTATCCTTCTCTCCCTTACATCCTCTATCCTTCCCTCCCTTCTCTCCCTTACATCCTCTATCCTTCTCTCCCTTACATCCCCTATCCTTCCCTCCTCTCCTTTACATCCTCTGTCCTTCCGTCCTTCTCTCCCTTACATCCTCTATCCTTCCCTCCCTTCTCTCCCTTACATCCTCTATCCTTCTCTCCCTTACATCCTCTATCCTTCCCTCCCTTCTCTCCCTTACATCCTCTATCCTTCTCTCCCTTACATCCTCTATCCTTCCCTCCCTTCTCTCCTTACATCCTCTATCCTTCCCTCCTTCTCTCTCTTACATCCTCTATCCTTCCCTCCTTCTCTCCTTTACATCCTCTATCCTTCCCTCCTTCTCTCCTTTACATCCTCTATCCTTCCCTCCTTCTCTCCTTTACATCCTCTATCCTTCCCTCCTTCTCTCCCTTACATCCTCTATCCTTCTTCTCCCTTACATCCTCTATCCTTCTCTCCCTTACATCCTCTATCCTTCCCTCCTTCTCTCCCTTACATCCTCTATCCTTCCCTCCTTCTCTCCCTTACATCCTCTATCCTTCCCTCCTTCTCTCCTTTACATCCTCTATCCTTCCCTCCTTCTCTCCCTTACATCCTCTATCCTTCCCTCCTTCTCTCCCTTACATCCTCTATCCTTCCCTCCTTCTCTCCTTACATCCTCTATCCTTCCCTCCTTCTCTCCCTTACATCCTCTATCCTTCCCTCCTTCTCCCTTACATCCTCTATCCTTCCCTCCTTCTCTCCCTTACATCCTCTATCCTTCCCTCCTTCTCTCCCTTACATCCTCTATCCTTCCCTCCTTCTCTCCCTTACATCCTCTATCCTCTCCCTTACACCTTCCTTCTCTCCCTTACATCCTCTATCCTTCCCTCCTTCTCTCCTTTACATCCTCTATCCTTCCCTCCTTCTCTCCTTTACATCCTCTATCCTTCCCTCCTTCTCTCCTTACATCCTCTATCCTTCCCTCCTTCTCTCCCTTACATCCTCTATCCTTCTCTCCCTTTACATCCTCTATCCTTCCTCCTTCTCTCCTTACATCCTCTATCCTTCCCTCCTTCTCTCCCTTACATCCTCTATCCTTCCCTCCTTCTCTCCCTTACATCCTCTATCCTTCCCTCCTTCTCTCCCTTACATCCTCTATCCTTCCCTCCTTCTCTCCCTTACATCCTCTATCCTTCCCTCCTTCTCTCCCTTACATCCTCTATCCTTCCCTCCTTCTCTCCCTTACATCCTCTATCCTTCCCTCCTTCTCAATCCTGCCACCAAGACTTATTATATATTCTTCTCTCCCTCAGTGAGGTTGGTGAAGGGTTCTTGATCACAGGAGTCAGAGCTCTTCTTCCCTGTCGTTGGATTAAACTTGAATACCTTCCATTCTCCAGCTGTAACGTTACCCCTACGGGTTTAGCGACCCCCCATGAATATTAATTGTGTTTCTCTTTCTTTGCAGGACGAGTGTTTGAGAACACATGAGAGGAATGTGTTTATGACGGAGCACCAGTGCTATGTGCCAGGCTAGTGGCACTCCCCAGGCTAGTGGCACTCCTCATGCAAGACCACCAGCCAGCACTGGCACCGCTACACCTCTAGCAGCCGCGGTGCTAAACCCTAAGGGGCAGCTAGAGGCCGCGTCGCTACGACAATGTACCTCCCCGGCCAGAGTTCGTAGCAGAGACACGCGACGGAGGATGATAATGGTGGTAGCCTGAGGCAGTGAAGGAGAGGAGGAGGAGGAGGAGTAGAAGAAGAAGGAGGAAGAGGAGGAGGGCCAGTCATAATGTTGGGTGGAGGGCCGCCCAGGGCGCGGCGGGCGCCCCTACAGCGCTCAGACACCGCCCCTGAGGAACTGGAGCTGGAGAAACGTCTGGAGGCGGAGTGGCGAAGACGATCCCTGGCCAGGGCTAACTCCGCTGACCGGCCCTCCTCTGTGGCCCAGCCTCGCACCGCTTACACCCTCCCAGCAGCCTTCCCTGGTACGTTGACCAACACCTGTCTTCAATACTACACCTGTATCACAACTGTGTTCCTGGCACACCTGCGTTCCCTAGTACACCAGTGTCCTCTGCTACTACACCTGTGTTTCCTAGTACACTTGTGTTCCCTAGTACACCAGTGTCCTCAGTTACTACACCTGTGTTCCCTAGTACACCTGTGTTCCCTAGTACACCTGTGTTCCCTAGTAAACTTGTGTCCGTTGCTACTTTACCTGTTTCCTAGTACACCTGTGTCCGCTTTTACTACACCTGTGTTTCCTAGTACACCTGTGGTCCCTAGTACACCTGTGTCCTCTGCTACTACACCTGTGTTCCCTAGTACACTTGTGTCCGCTGCTATTACACCTGTGTTTCGTACTAGACTTGTGTTTCCTAGTACACCTGTGTCTGCTGCTACTACACCTGTGCTCCCTATTGCACCTGTGCTCCCTAGTACACCCGTGTTCCGTACTACACCTGTGTTCGCTAGTACACCTGTGTCCTCTGCTACTAAACCTGTGTTTCCCAGTACACATGTGTTACCACACCTGTGTTTCCTAGTACACATGTGTTACCTACCACACCTGTGTTTCCTAGTACATATGTGTTACCTACCACACCTGTGTTTCCTAGTACACCTGTGTCCTCTGCTATTACCCGTTTATCACAACTGTGTTCTCAGACTCTAGACCTGTATCATACGTGTTTTCTTTGGTGCCACACCTGTACTATACTTGTTTTACCGAGTACTATTCAGCTGCAAGTCTCTTCTCTCTAGTACCACATATGTTCTCTCTAGTACCACACATGTTTACTCTAGTACCACATGTTCTTTCTAGTACCTCACATGTTCTCTCTAGTACCACACATGTTCTCTCTAGTACCACACATGTTCTCTCTAGTACCACACATGTTCTCTCTAGTACCACACATGTTCTCTCTAGTACCACACATGTTCTCTCTAGTACCACACATGTTCTCTCTAGTACCACACTTGTTCTCTCTAGTACCACACATGTTCTCTCTAGTACCACACTTGTTCTCTCTAGTACCACACATGTTCTCTCTAGTACCACACTTGTTCTCTCTAGTACCACACATGTTCTCTCTAGTACCACACATGTTCTCTCTAGTACCACACTTGTTCTCTCTAGTACCACACATGTTCTCTCTAGTACCACACATGTTCTCTCTAGTACCACACTTGTTCTCTCTAGTACCACATGTGTTCTTTCTAGAGTCTAATACGTCACTTGTTATGTCAAGAACTACACTTGCAGTTCAAAAGTTATACTTAACATTACACCTGCACTACACATATTTTCACCCCTCTCTCTCTCTCTCTCTCTCTCTCTCTCTCTCTCTCTCTCTCTCTCTCTCTCTCTCTCTCTCTCTCTCTCTCTCTCTCTTCATCTAAAGAAACAACATTTTATTTTACATTGTTCTTCTTCATTACATTACTGATTGTGCAAAATTCGCTATACAAGATGAAAAACAACCACGAGGGGAGTTGAATGATAGCTCTAGGCCTTTAGTGTTTCAAGCAACACATCAGGAGACTGCAGTGTTGCAGAAAAGAGGAGGTCCAAACAAATGCGATCATAAGGAGCGCCTTTGCAAAGGTGACCTAGGAAAGCACGACCCCCGCCTTCCATCCACTACAGATTTATACCAAGTCCAAATCATTCTGTTTTGTTCCATCTCTCTAAATGTCCGAACCTCCTCAACATCCCTCCTCATCCCTCTGGATATTACTTTTAGAAACCCCACACCTTCTAATCTCCACGCTATGGAGTCTCTGAATAATATTCACACCACACATTGTCGTCAGACACGACATCTCCACTGCCTCCAGCCTTCTACTTGTTGCAACATTCACCACCCCATGTTTCACACCCATATAAGAGCGTTGGTACTACTAAACTCTCATACATTTCCCTCTTTGCTTCCATGGATAACATTCTTTGTCTCCACAAACTTCTCAGTGCTCCACTCACCTTTTTCCCCTCATCGTCACTCATAGACCTATCTGCTGATAAGTCCACTCCCAAATATCTGCATACATTCACTTTCCATATTCCATCCCTCCAGTCTGATATCTTATCTTTCTTTACTTAAACTTTGTTATTCTTTTCACCTGACTCTTTCATATGTTCACTTTTAATTTCCTTCTTTTACTTACTCTCAGAAACTCGTCCACCAACCTCTGCAAGTTCTCTTCAGCATCTCCCAAAAGCACAGTGTCATGGGCAAAAAACAACTGTGACAACTCCCACTTTGTGTTAGATTCTTTATCTTTTAAAATTTAATCCCACACCTCTTGCCAACACCCGATCATTCACTTTTCTTAAAACCCCATATGTAAATATATTGAACATCTGGCTCTTCCTCACTCCTACAAGATGTTATACCTCCATGGCTAATGCACGAAATCACAGCTTCCCTGTCTTCATCAACATTTAAGAGTTCCTCAAAATATTTCTTCCATCTTCCCGATACCTCTAAATTTCCTTCTAATAACTCTTCTTTTCTATTTTTATCTGTCATATTTATTCGTTCCCTAGGATTTTTACACTTATTAATTTTTCTTATTCTTAACCGAATTTGTAGACAGCATCTCACCCACTTTCTCATTTGCTCTCCTTTTACATTCCTTCACAACTCTCTTAACCTCTCTTTTTCTCTATATATATTCCCTCCTCCTTATATCATTTCTACTTTGCAAAAACCTCTTGTATGCTAACTTTTTCTCTCTTAATGCTATCTGTACCTCATCATTCTGCCAATCGCTCCTCTTCCCTACCGTACCCATCCTCCTGTATCCTCAAACTTCTGCTGAGCACTCTAACACTGCATTTTTAAATCTACCCCATACCTCTTCAGCCTCATTGCCTACACTCTCACTAGCCAGTCTTTCTACCAATAGTTACTTATATCTTACCCTAACTGCCTCCTCCTTTAGTTTATAAAACGTCACCTCTCTTTTACTTTCTGATACCATTCTACTTGTACCCCATCAACCTTTTACTGTCACTATAGCTATTACTAATAATGATATATATGTTGCTTATCTATAAACATGCACATCCTGATGTCTACGCATCAACCTTTTATCCACTAAGACATAGTCCATCAAAGTACTATCATTACGCCCTACATCATATCTCGTGTACTTATTTATCTTTTTTTTAAATATATATTACCTGTTACCAAACCTCTTTCTATACAAAGTTCAATCTAAGGTCCCCATTATCATTTACCCCTCTCACCCCAGACTTACCTACCTCGTCCTTTGTAACTGTTTCTCCCACTTTCGCATTCAAGATCCCCTGCCACAGTTATTCTCTCACTTGGTTCAAAACCCCCTATACATTCACTTAACATCTCCTAAAAATATCTCTCTCTCTCTCCTCTGTCCCTCTCTTCTCCAGGTGCATAAACAGTTATTATGACCCACTTTTCGCATCCGACCCTTATTTTAATCCACATAATTCTCGAATTTATGCATTTATATTCCCTCTTTTCTTGCTCTAACTGATCTTTCACCATTATTACTACACCTTCCTTAGATCTAATTCTCTCAGATACTCCTGACCTAATCCCATTTATTTCTCCCCCTTCAGTTTTGTTTCGCTTAGAGCCAGGGCATCCAACTTCTTTTCATTCATAACACTAGCAGCCATCTCTTTCTTATCATCTGCACTATATCCACGCACATTCAAACATCCCAGCTTTAAAAAGTTTTCCCTCTTTTTGTTTTTAGTAATTTGTACAGGAGAAGGGGATTGCTTCCTCATTGCTCCCGGCATTTTAGTCGTCTCTTACGACACGCATGGCTTATGGAGGAAAGATTTTTTTACCCATGGATATGAAAGAAAATAGTTAAGAACAAAAACTATTAAGAAACTAGAAAATTTAGATGGCAGACAGCAACCACCCTTCCTAGGTGGTTGCTGTCTATCAACCTACTACCTATTATATATATATATATAATATATATATATATATGCAAAACAACCACTCTGAAAGAATAGAGAAATTCCAAGCGCTTTCGTGACTACTAATGTGAGTAGTCACGAAAGCGCTTGGAATTTCTCTATTCTTTCAGAGTGGTTGTTTTGCATATTCTGAAATCACCTGTTTACTGTGATCTTATTGCATATATATATATATATATATATAATATATATATATATTTATATATATATATATTATATATATATATATATATATATATATATTATATTATATGTATGTGTGTGTGTGTGTGTGTGTGTGTGTGTGTGTGTGTGTGTTGTGTGTGTGTGTGTGTGTGTGTGTGTGTGTGTGTGTGTGTGTGTGTGTTTTGTGTGTGTGTGTGTGTGTGTGTGTGTGCGTGTGTGTGTATGTGTGTGTGTGTGTCTATGTGTGTGTATTGTATAGCACTGTCTACGCCTCGTGAGACATTTTCATTTGCAGTGGTAGAGTATTTTGGGATCATTTAGCGCAATGAGTAATGAAAACTTAATCGTCAGTTCGATAATCACGAGACAGATCCCCGTCTCTCCCAGACAGTCTATCCTGAGAGAGAGAGACAATAGTCTCACCAAAAATAGGAACGCCTTGCGCCTTTTCCCACGCCAGATTCTGAAGATGGCTACGCCACACTGAGACATGAGGCTTAGAGGATGAGCTGCGGTAATCGCTGCCACGACTGATGTCTGTCAGATCCAAAAAATTGTATTTCTGGAGAAGTGAGGGGAAAGACTGGGAAGCTGTGTAGGTCTGGACAGGTCAGAGACCTGCTCCAGGCACCAGCTTAAACATCACAAGCGGGGAAATGTCCAAAAGATTTCCTGGACTCGCTCAGTTTTCCTGCAACTTTCAACTAGAACACCTTATATATATATATATATATATATATATATATATATATTATATATATATATATTATATATATATATATATATATATATAATGACTTCAAGAGTGTATCAGTCTGTAGTGGAAGGAAGGCGGGG